TGAATTCATATTAATTGAGTCTTGAAAATGCTGTAAATTGTGGACATTGGAAATGAGAATGAGAAACATAATCTGTACTTGACAGTCTATAAAAATAAAATTTTGTCAACTGAAGCAATTAAATGTAAAAAATAAGTTGTTATGATCGTAAAATAAAAATATTATCCCAGAATGCATTCATTAGTTCAATTTTTAAAGATCATAGCCTCACTAAGGATAGTATAATTAAACTATATGGCCAGTTTAATAGAAAATTAATGCATAAAATGCACAGCATTGATAGGCGAATAGAGCGACGACTCACTTTGACTGCGTAGTTTATTTGGCATGTTAAATAAGCACTTTTGTCACCTGCGCAAGTACACATCTGCAGTCAGATTCATGCACACTCTCAGTGCTTTCTAAGAAGCAGCAGCAGTGGACAGCAACTTTTGCCATTCTGTCCTCTCTTTCTCAGTCTCCTGTGAGACAAATGGCCAAATCTGTGTCCCGATGATTGTTGTAGGCTCTTTCCTCAGATCCATCTATGCCTTACTCTTAAGCATAACTGCTCATCTGCTGTCCTTTTAGTATTTTTCTAACCCTTCGGCCCAATATCAACGGTATAGAGCGATTAACTCTCTATTTCTCCTCTCACTTAACCCTCTCCCCTCCAAAAAATGGATGGCTCTCTGCTCTTAGCTGCTCTCTAGTTGGTTCCGTATACCGAGTTATCTACTGACTGTCGGAAACGAGAGTATAAAAGCAAAACTCAATCTTTGTAGAGTCCAATTTAAGCTTTCAGTTTAACTGCAATCACTTCTTAGCACGAATTTAGCAAGATGTGCAGCACTGGTCAATGCACTCGTCTAGGAGCGGATCCAAATGTAGTCTATCCGGTCAAGTGAGTTACAACATCCCACTTACTCTAAGCCCTTTGTGGTATGTATTATTTCATCATTTTAAGTAATGTCATTTAATAAACAATCATTAACGATAAAATTTAGACCATAAACAACTATCCTACTCATGAGTAATAAGTTCTTTATTATGTAAATTTGAGTGGATATTACACTTTTATTTCAGTTTTTAGCCAGTTATAAATGTTTCTTGAAATATAACATTCATATGTTCAGCTGAAATTTTTATCAACCATGTCATGATTTGTCATGTTCCTTTTGCCCAGAGCTACAACCTGTTGCAAGACGCGTTACACCGTCCTTCGCCCTGAATACTATGAATGCACTCGTTGCTACGAGACTTGCACTCCATGCAACGTGCCCTGTGCTCCCAACAATTCTCCGTGCGCAACCGCCTGTGGTCCAGCAATCTGTGGTGCTGGCGGCTACGGCCCATTCAAGGGTCGAGGCGGCTGTTGCTAGGCCGCTGGTTTCACAGGACTT